AGTGGCCACAATTGTAATGTCATTCTCGACACGTTGGCCGTATTCCGTATTTCATACTCACCCCTTTCAGTTTGAAGCATCATCATGGGTTATCAACAACAAGGCATTTCTAATCAAGATTTTAAGTACACATAAGATCAATTAAGAGCCTTAAGCACATTGGGTATTCTTTCACAGTTTGGCATAACAATGTTCATTTGAAGCACGACTTGAAGTCATAATATTTTACCACACAAACCATACTTTGAGCACATTCTCGAACGATAACATTATATGACAAGAGCATTTGGAACACATTTTAAACATATATCTTTTGACACAAAGCTTATTCAGAATAGTCAAATTTATAATGACTAACTCGGGACATGAGAAATAAGAAATTATCCCATCGTACTTGAGACTTACGAGAACATCGTGGGATTCACTTCTAAGAGAGAAGTTTAGCCAACATACCTCGCTTTGAGCTTCCTAAATTACTACATTGCTCCAGAAATCCTAGCAACTTCATTCTATTTAGAAACATAACAAAATTGAACCATAATTTGGAAGATACTCGGGGGTTCACCTCATTTGAGCATTTTTTCAAACACTAGGTGGCCATTATGATTATAAAGTCCTCCTATGGTGGCTTCCTTCATCCTACAACCCAATATCTACCCGTTTGAGCTCAACAACCTTCCCACAACTTTGTTGGTACATGCATGCATAGATAACACCCCCATACATAAGAATCACACTCCCCATTATCCATATTCTACCCCAAACTCGAAATTGAAGGCAACGGTATAGAACCTTACCTCTTGGATCAACACCTTGTGAGTTTTTCTTGTGAATTCTCTAAGTATTAAGTAAAGATTGATAATTAACTTAGGGATCCCTGCTCTCACTCTCGACCACTTTCCTCTCTCTAAAATATTAGTTTGTACCTTCTAAAACAACCCCCAATGTTGTTTTATAAAAAATAAGGTCGGGTGAAATTTTTCCAAAACATTAACTTATGAAGCCGGGTCTGCGGTCGCAGACCGTACCGCAAAATGACTATGCGGCCCGTAAAGGGGACCGCAGAAATGGCCCCAAGAACTGGGCAGGTCTGTACAGGTATGTGACTTATTTGCGGTCTACAGATTAATTCTATGGTCGCATAATGGACCGCAAAACCTCCTTTCAAAGTTTTCTCCTGCTGGTTCTGCGACGGATGTACGGCTCGCAAAATGATTATTCGGTCGCATAGTTGACCGCATAACGACCTCCAAAATTGGCCCATTTATCTGCTTCACTCTGCGGTTGATCTGCGGCCCGCGGAGTAGTTCTGCAGTCGCATAATGGACCGCAAAAATACCCTGTTCTGTAACATTTTTTCTCCAACTCCCCAACGCACTATATAATCCAAAAAGTCCGTACCATGGCTCGCAAGCACGCCGCAAAGAATTTCCACCATCCTCAAACACATTAGCCCACCTCGGCACCACGAAGCCCCGGGTTCTAGGTGAAATTTTATAGGGCCTTACACAGATGAAGCACAGACAGTGTAAGATTCAAGGCCAAACATGCTACAGCACAAGCTTAAGAATTTTGAAGACAAATAAACTAGGCTTAAGATCTAATATTGAACAAAGCAGTAAAGCATAACAAGAGGAGACATTAAGTAGTGCCAAACGAAGCCAAGTGCCTCGTCTTAATCATTAGAACCGAATAAACGAAGTAATCTACAAACTACTAAGACTAAGACAAAAGGAGAAAAAAAAGAAGCTAAGGCATCACTTAAATCGCAAAATAAAATAAGAACACTGGGAAGGGACTAGTTCAAGGGTGAGAAGTGGAGGGGGTCAATGCTTTCATAAGAGTGGCAATCTGTTAGGCATGAGCTTCCCTATCTGTTCTGAGCTCTTCCCGAAGTTGCATGTTTTCTTTTCGCAACTCATTATTGTCTTCACGAAGCTTGGCATTCTCTTCAACAACCAACTCCAACCTCTTACTGAGCTCAATAGCCCTACTGCTCCCACGTAGAATAGCAGACCTTTTGGTTCCTCTAGTCTTGATCTCCTCATAGCTACACTACTTGAGGATAAGAACATCCAATACGTCATTTTGGTTTCAAAACTTAAGCTCAGGTAAGGCAATGTTAAGCTTTTAAAACAACTCAGTCAATATGAAACCATAAGGCATAGCATGCTTAGTCTTGGAGGTGTCTGCAACTCTTGCCATATGTTGAATCATCAGGCTAGGGAGATTGATAGGTCTACCAGTGTCAAGAAGTTCCATTACAGCCATGTCCAGTAGAGTAGCTTCATGCCTTCTCTCATACCTCTAAAGAATGCATGAATTGACAAAATGAAACAACAACTTGTGGAAGGGAGTCATATCAATCTTGTACACCTTCTGGGGAGCATCAAGTTCAAACTTTTGAGAAAACTTCTATGTGACCACAATGCTAGTGTCAACATCATTGTCTATGGCTAGCCACTTTTTCTTCAAGTAATTGTCAAATCCCAAAGAAGAGATATTTAGAAGCATCCCCAACTCCTCAGAATCAAACTCCATTTCAAATCCCCCTACCTTACTTTTGACTACCTTCCCATCAAAATTGAAATTTGCATAGAACTCCACCACAGCAGGAACACATACAGGAGGGAAAGCTTTGACAAACATGTGCTTCCACCCCTGAAGCTCAAGTTTTTCAACCAGTTGAGCCATCCCTTTCTCATCAGTGTTTGCAAGAATCTTCCCATTTAGCACTTTTCTGTTCCTGAACTCTGTGAGTTGATAAACTGCAACTGGCACATTCTTTCTTGTCTTTCCCTTACTAGCCCTTGTAGAAAGGGTAGCAGGTTTTGTAACTTTGGCAACTTTCTTCTTTGGTGTAGAGGACTTAGCTGGCAAGGCAGATTCAGACTTATCTTCTCCATCCAGCTCAACGACAGGTTCCACAATTGAGACTTTCTTCCTTGGTTTCTTTGCACTTCTAGACTCCTTAACGACTTGTGCATCAATAACCTTTCTTTTATTCCTTATAAGAGGGGCCCTGTTAGGACGGACCACTCATTCACAGAAGTCTTTCTGGGTTTCTTCCCTACCTCAGATAGTGGCAAATCATCTTCATCACTGCTAACTTCTTCATCTCCAGTGAAAAGAGTTAGCAGAGACCCAGGTTCTTGAACCCTTGCCTCTTCACCAATTTCTTCTTAAAGGGCTATGACAGTGTTCCCAATGGTCATAGAGCCTTCAGATTCCTCACTCAGAGTCTCATTTTCTTCCTCACCTCCTCCACTCTCACTTACTTTTTCATGATCCTCACCCTCACTCTCAGAGTTGTCCTCTTCTTCACTATGATTCTCTTCTTTGGTAGAATCATATGCTCATTCACCTATCTTATCATCTGTATCACTCTCCTTCTCATCTCCATAAGCTCCCTTATTCTCACTCTTTTCTTCTTCATTGTCTATGTTTTTAGTATCATGCTCCTCGGGGCTATTCATAACTTCTTCTTCTTTTTCACCCCTATCATCATCCTTGTCCTCAGTCCAATGAAAGACAGTCAGAACCCTCTTTTTGCACAGGTTCTTTACTTCCTCCCCCCTCAATCACAAGCTCTACAGCAGTAGTATCTACCTCCTTCCCCATATCACCCATACCCTTTTCTACAGTGAATTTCTCCACTTGTGATTTATCACTCGTGGGTGGGAGAGTATCTAAGGGTGCATCATCTATAGCAGATACTAAAATATCTAATTTTGAAGGAGAATGTTATACCTGATCAACAATGACAGGCCCTGATTCCCCCTGAACCACATATTCCTTGATTACTGAGTCTACCTGAGTAGTAGCATCAGGCACTATCTCTACAGATTTTCTTGGAGTGGCCTTGATCTTTGTTGACTTAGAGGTAATATTTGCATTAGGCTCAGGTACATGGGTAGTTGGCCTTGGAAGTGGAGTTACAATGGGGGTGGGGATGGTAAGAGTAGAAGGAACATGGGATGATGATGTAGGTACAGTGGAGGATATCGAAGAAGAAGGAGCATGTGTGGGTATGGGTTCACTTAATTGCTTGGCATTTTTCTTCGACTTAGGCTTCATGATTTTGGATTTTGATTCAGCCTTGGTTGATGATTTGGCTTTAGAAGTGGTTTGACTGGCTTTAGACATGGTGATCAGATAAGAGACTCGATGAAGAGAAATGGAGAATTAGTTCTTGATATTTTCTTCTTGATTCTTTGCTTAGGGTTTGAAAAAAACAGTGAGGTCTAAGAAGCTGATCATAGGAGGTTTTTAAAGGCGTTACTCCTGATCGGACTAGAAGAGAGAAGGTGATCGAATTTAAGTTCTAACGGGACTCTTATAACGGTTACTTTGACTGTTAGGATTTCAGGAGCAATTAAACTCTAATTGCACTAGAATTCCCCTTTTCTCTTTGACTAGAAGATTACTAGAAGTTATTCCAACGGAATTAAAAGTCTGAGCATAACAGTAATTTTAGAATATTAAGTCCTAGTGACTTATGATAGTATGGCACGTACCTAAGTCGAAGAACCAACTCCTTAGCAACTCCTTATTTGTTTCTACAATAAAGCTTCAGCACTTCATATTAGTATCATACAACACAGTTATCAACCACATTTTCCAAGAAAGTGTGTGAGCTTAATACAAGCACATAGATGAATCAAACACATTGTACTTAATTATCTACATCTAATTATGCTTTTTCTAGCCAATAACTAGGATTCAACTTAGTTGGAAGAGTTGATTAGTCCTAGTTCTAGTCTGTTTCTTTAAAAGTGATCCCTACTCAGAGCTTTAGTAAAAATATCAGCAATTTGATCTTCAGTTATACAAAAGTTAATTGAGATATTCCCCTTCTCAACATTGTCTCTGAGAAAGTGAAGTCTAATGTCAATGTGCTTGGTTCTTTTATGTTGACATGGATTTTTAGCAATGTTTATGGCATTGGTGTTATCATAGAAAATGGGAATACAATCAACAATTATACCATAGCTTAGCTGTTATCTTATCCATAGCAACTCAGCACAGCATGATGTTGCTGCCACATATTCAACCTCTGTTGTAGATAGGGCCACTGAGTTTTGCTTTCTGGTTCCCCAAGACACCAGACAAGAACCTAGAAAATGAGCTGTTCCTGAAGTGTTTTTCCTGTCAACATGAAAACCTACATAATCAGCATCAACATAACTAACTAGATCAAAGTTATACCTTCTGGGGTACCATAGGCAGAGATTAGGGGTCCACTTGAGATATCTTAGTATCATTTAGACAGCCTTCAGGTGAGATTCCTTGGGATTTGCCTGAAATGTTGCACATAATCCCACTTGAATACAATATCAGGCCTGCTTGTTGTGAGGTACAATAGTGATCCAATCACTCCTCTATACAGTTTTTGTTCCACACTTTTTCCTTCTTCATCAAGGTCCAACTTTGTTGTAGTTGCAATGGGAGTGTCAATGGACTTAAAGGAGTCCATGTATAACATTTTCAGTAGTTCCTTGATATATTTCTGCTGATGTATCATGGTTCCAATAGATGTTTACTTGATTTGCAGTGCCAGAAAGAAGTTCAATTCATCCATCACGCCCATTTCAAACTTATTTCACATCATCTCAGCAAATTCCTAGCACATTGCTTCATTGGTAGCGCCAAAGATAATGTCATCCACATACACTTGCACAATCAGAATATTCTTCCCTCTGCTCCTTAGAAATAGAGTATTGTCCACCTTTCCTCTTACAAATTTGTTTGCTAAGAGGAACTTTGAGAGTCTTTCATACCAAGCTCTTGGGGCCTAATTCAGTCCATAAAGAGCTTTATCCATCTTGAACACATAGTCAGGGAATTCTTCACTTTTAAATGCAGGAGATTGTTTCACAAACACTTCCTCCTTCAGGTAACCATTCAAGAAAGCACTCTTTACATCCATCTGATATAGGGTGAACTCCATGTGGGAAGCAAAGGCTATCAGCATTCTTATAGTTTCCATTCTAGCTATAGGTGCAAATATCTCATCATAGTCAATGCCCTCCTCTTGATTGTATCCTTGAACCACCAGTATGGCCTTATTCCTTGTGATATATCCTTATTTATCTAGCTAGTTTCTGAACACCCATCTGGTACCTATGATAGTTTTGTTCTTGGTTCTCTGTACCAAGTGCAAGACCTTGCTTCTCTCAAACTGATTTAACTCCTCTTGCATGGCCATGATCCAGTCTGGATCCTTTAGAGTTTCTTTGATGGTCTTAGGTTCAACTTATGAGAGAAATGTTATGAGTGCACATAGATTTCTTAGAGAGGACTTGGTTTGCACTCCTGCATTTAGATCAGAGATGATATTCTCAAGAGGATGTGAGCTTTGATGCTTCCATGGTCTGATCTGTATACCCAGAGAAGATTCACCTAAGGAGTGACCAGACGGAACAAGTTCAGTTGGTGTAGCTTCATCAGTCTGGTTGGCAGTTAGAGTGGTTCTTTCTTCTTCTTGTTCCTCATGATCGCTGTCAATTTCCTTGTGGTGTTTGGACCCATCTTCATACTAAGGTTCAGATTCCTTTGCAACTTCAACACCAGTGAGTCCTATGTCAAGATCTTCATCCTGCATACCTTTCTTAGCCAAATAATTAGATTCATCAAAGATAACATGAATATTTCTTTTATTGAAAAACTTTATAGGCCTTACGATGTGGAGAGTAACCCAAGAAAATTCCCTCATCACTTCTGTCATCAAACTTACCTAGAGCTTCTTTTCCATTATTATGCACAAAACATTTACATCCAAAGGCTCTCAGGTGAGTGATGTTGGGTTTTCTCCCTCGAAGTAACTCATAGGGAGTTTTCTCAAGAATGGGTCTGACCATGCATCTATTTAGCAAATACACAGAAAATATCAAAGGTTTCATCTTTGGATTCGAAAAACAGAGTCCATGTATACCTGGAGAAGTCATCAACAATCACAAACACATACCTCTTACCTCCTCTAACAACCTTCTTAGATTTAAAGGATTACCTTACATGTTTCCCTCTAACACAAGCATCACACACCCTTTCAAAGGAGAACTCAACTTTAGGTAGCCCAAGGACCAAGTCCTTTGCTGCCAACTTGTTGAGTTGAGAGAGTCTGGCATGTCCCGGTCTTCTATGTCATAGTAGTGAACCATCTTCCACTACACTCAAGCATGTGTGCTCACTCTGGGGAAGTGACACAATCAATATCTTGTAGGAATTATTATGTCTCTTACCCTTTAACATGATTTCATTAGTATCAAGCTTAGTGATAGTACAAATTTTGAAATTGAATTTTATCTCATTTCCTTTGTCGCACATTTGAGAGATGCTAAGAATATTGTGTTTAAGACCTACCACATAATACGCATATTCTATAGCATGAGCGAGTGACTGACCAACCTTTCCAATACCTGTTATCTGGCCCTTTTTCCCATTTTCAAATGACACACTCCCTCCTTGGAAGGCTGTTAGTGAGAGAAAGTTTTTCTTTTCTCCATTCATATGTATTGAGCATCCACTGTCTAGATACCAGTCCTAATTATTCCCTCTCACCTTAGCCTGCACCAGAATTCACAAGTTAGTTATGGGAACCCAGACAAGCTTGGGTTCCTTTTTATTAGAAAAGGGATTGATCAGATCCCTTCTTGCCAAGAAGGGGAGAGGATTAGAAGCTATTTTCTTATTAACCTTAATCAACTTAGTATGAACAAGAGGATTGACCTTTGGCTCCTCTTCCTTCTTCACATTTTTAGCAATACCAAAGGTGCTTCTAAACTAAGCATAAATTAAGGGAGGACAAGTGTCTCTAAAGTGTCCTACTTTTCCACAATGATTGCACATGTTATTATCATAAATTCCTACATACTTTGGGTCAAACTTAGGAACAGGTTTTCTGTAGCCAATTCCACATTTGTTAGAGCTACAGTTTTCATTCAGCCAATTCAAGGCATCAGAAGATCTATACCATTTGCTTAGTCTAGAGAGTTCATAATTAGCCTTTTCTAGATTTCCTGCAGGATTTTATTTCTACATTCAGCATCACAAAGATTATCTTTAGCACTATTTAATTCCTTTTCAAGCTTATTCTGCAGATCACTCATTTTTCTCTTGACATGTATATCATGAGACTTATCATTCTTAGAAGTGAGCTCAAGAACATGGTTCTTAAGATCCTTGACCTATTTCTCTAAATTAGCTTTGTCAGATTCAAGCTCTTTGATATCAAGTTTGGCACAAGAAATGTTGCTTATTAGCTGATCATTTCCAGTACTCATTTTATCCATTTCATTCATCAAGGTCATAATTATGGCCATCAATTGTTTTTTGGACATAGCATAAATGTTTACTTTCATGTCAGATATACTTACCTGGTTTGTTTTACCTTCAGTCTCTGAATCACTCATGGCCATCATCCCTATCACTTCTTCCTCCGTTTTGGATTCTTCAATTGCCATCAAATCCACTTCGAAGGTTTCATCTCCAAAGTCAGTTTCCAAGGTCCTTCATATATCATGAGCAGAGATACAAGAGGACACTCTGAAGAGAGTGTTTCTGGACAAGCTTTTGTAGAGCCGGTCCTTTGCTTTAGCATTTTTCTGAACTAGCTGACGATCTTCCTCATCGTATTCCTCTTCTCTTTTGTTGCACTAGTTACCTTCACTATCCATTTTGGTTGGGAGAATTGGTCCATGACTGACAATTACCCATAGGTCAAAGTTAGTAGCCTGAAGAAATGTTTTCATATGCAACTTTCATTCATCATAGTGGTGTTCATCAAACAGAAGAGGCCTTCCAATGTGCATCCCAAGTTGTATTTGGGGTTATGTCTCCACAACCTGGTGTTCATCAATTACAACATAGATACTTATAGCCTCATCCTCCTTTTCTTCCTCTTGATCACTTCCAATGCTGCCAAGAAAGCCTGCTTCATTGCTTCAGTAAATCCTTTGCCTAGGATTTTTCCTTTGTTGGAACCTTTTTCTCTCATCATCTCTCATTTCTCTTTTTCAGCTCATTCTTTTCTCCACTCAATTTCCCATATTGGGCAGTCCTTGACCATGTGATCTAGCTTGCTACATTTGTAGAACCCATCATAGTTAGCTTTGTCGATCTGCTTGGTCTTACTACTGGTCTCTTTCTTGGATGCACTTTTGGAATTCTTCATGAATCTCTTGAACTTGGAAAACATTGGTAGATCAGGATCATCAATGTCAAATTCATCATCCTCAGACACTTTAAGAACCAAGGCCTTATCCCTCTTTGGTTCTTCCTTGCGCAGTTCTATCTTTCTTATTTTATGAGTTTTTAAGTTTCCAACCAACTCATCAAGTGAGATTTTGTCCATATCCTTGGCTTCCTGAATTGCAGTGACTTTTTATTCCCATGAAGCTGGAAGGATTCTTAGAACTTTGCTAACCAACTCTTCTGAGGTAAATACCTTTCCAAGTGATTTTAGTTCATTGGTTATTATAGTAAACCTAGTCATCATATCCCGGATGGGCTCAGACTCCTTCATGGAGAAGAGCTCACAGTTTCTCATGAGTAACTCTATCCTTGAACTTTTTACTTGGTTTGTTCCTTCATGAGTAGTTTGGAGTGCATCCCATATCTGTTTTGCCTTAGAGCACACAAAAATTCTATTGTACTCATCAGGACCAAGTCCACATATAAGGATTTTCTTAGCCTTTGCATTCTTCTCCATCTGATTTTCTTAGCCTTTGCATTCTTCTCCATCATTCTAAAATCTACTGCCACGAATTCGGAGGGGTCCTTAATAACTGTTTCATTTTGTGAATTCTGTTTAATAGGAATCAAAGGACCTTGGTTCACTATGGTCCATAGTTCATAGTTTTTACCTGTCAAGAAGTCTTCATTCTTGCTTTCCACCAACTGTAATATTTTCCATTGAATAGGGGTGTCCTGATAGTTGATTGTCCTTCATTAATTTCGGGTAGAGCACTCATCTTACTTCCAAGATCTCTCTATGAGTTAGCCGTGTGTGTGAGAGAACCTGCTCTGATACCAATTATTAGCTGAAGTGCCCGTATAGATTACTAAAGAACTTGGTTCTTTACCGTATTCCTTAAGCATGAAGTGAATAAGGAATAAAATGAACACAACGATTTGTATGTGGAAAATCACCCGACTCAAAAGGTGCAAAAATCACGACTTACCACGTAGAATTTTCAACTCCAACTCCACTAGAACAATGAGCCAAAATGTATCAATTACAAGACTGTAATTCAATACTCTCTAGTACTCCTACTCCTTCTATTTGATTCACAAGTTACTCTAACTTCTAAGGCAAACACTCACTCCAACTCACTAATTGTAAATGACACTTGATTACAACTCAATTTCCTAAAAATACATTCACTAGACTGACTCAAGAAGAATACAATGCAAGTTCTCAACTAGTGTAAATAACTTGTTGGCCTAAGTGAAGATTGTTTTGATGATTGACAAAGA